GCAAAATAAATATGGTGCTATATACAGTTGTTAAATAAATATATATATTGCACATTATGTTATGGAGTAATGTGCAACTGTTGTAATATGTGTAACTACTCAGATTTTCTTTAAAAGTGGTCATTCCAGCTGTTAATCATGTCCCAAATGCCTTTTTTATTCTGTTATATAAGTATTTGTTGTGTTGAGTTGGTGGCAAATGTTTAAATCTAATTCATCAGTGCTATTAGTGGCTCTTGTAGGGATCCCATTGTGTGACACCATGATTGTATATTGCCTGGTCCCCTACAGACAGATTATGAAGGTCAGGCAAAAAAACTGATGGAGCTCATGGAACAGACAGACGTGCTGATCGTGGCCGGAGGGGATGGCACCTTGCAGGAGGTCGTCACAGGCTTGCTACGAAGGCCAGATCAGGTAGGTGTTGCACCGTGTTGAGGAGAGAAGGAGAGAAGGGCAAATTAATCCAAACTTTTCTCTCAATTATGTCACTTGTGGATGTTTTTTTGACTACAGGACACAATCAGCAACACGCCGATTGGATTCATTCCACTGGGCTCTCACAACACCCTGAGTCCAAGTCTTCACCTCCTCAGTGACAACAAGGTCAAGTAAGTATCTTATCTGTATCATAATTAAAGGTTTTATCATCACACAATCCCAACATAGACTATGGATGTGGCTCACTGAGTAAATCTGCATTTATGGGTATGGTGTGAGTTTCTTCATCGGTAATGTAAACTAATGTTTCCACCTCTGTACATTTTTCAGAGACATCACATCAGCAACACTGTCCATTCTTAAGGGGGAAACGGTGCCTCTGGATGTGCTACAAATCAAAGTAAGACACTGCTTCTGTTCACAAAGTTATGAATTTAAAGGACCAGTGTGAAAGATTTAGTGGCATATAGAATATTATATTCTATTTCTGCCAATAGATCCTCCTAAAAGTTACACACTGGTCCTTTAATGTTTATTCTTGCTTATTTATTTACATTTCTTTATCCCATAGGATAATTAAGTTAACCTGTCATGAAAGATAATTGTTTTTGTTATTACAGTGCAGGGAGATATTATATGTTAGTGGGAACTTATCGTGTGTGTGGGTTTCTAGGGGGAGAAAGAGCAGCCAGTCTTTGCTCTGATGGGACTACGATGGGGTGCATTTCGAGATGTAGCTGCAACAATCAGCAAGTAAGATTACATTATTGGTCACTCAGATTACAATCCTGGGTAAACCATGACATAACTCCACATACATAAGAGTAATTAACCATATTTCCCCATAGATATTGGTACCTTGGACCACTGAAGACAAAGGCAGCACATTGGTTTAGTACTCTACAGGTAAGGTTATATTAAAACACATCATTATCTCATGAGCTAGTTGCTATATTTCATGTCTCTGTTTACTTGTCACCCATGAGCGTTATATAATGTGGCTGCTGCTGTATCTTAATCTTCCACTGTTGTAAAATCTCTCAGGAGTGGCCCCTGGTTCGGGACGTCTCTGTGTCCTACTTGGCTCCCAGCCTTCGGCCCCCTGACCTTCCCCCCCAGAAGCCCCCCAGACCCAGCCTGCTCTACCGCATCGCCCGCAGACTGAAGAACTACTGGAGCCCTCCTGTTGAAGGTAGCGTGTGTTATCGTGCTGATATTTGGATCACAACATGACACCAAATCCCAACAGTAAAATATTGCGAGCTCAAGCGCCCCAGTGGCCCGGGCTGGGTCCTCACTGCGAAGACCACGGGTTCGGCTCCGGCCTGTGGCGCTTTGCTGCGTGTCGTCCCCTCTCTCTTTCTCCCCACTTTCCTGTCACTCTTCAGCTGTCACTATCGATTAATAGCGAGCTGTATTTTTGGTTTTTGTGTCCTCAGAGCCTCCAAAAGTAGAAGAGCCAGAGGAGTGGAAGGAGCAGCAGCTGTCGACATTAGAGCTGTTTATTCAAACACACAACAAAAACCCAGTGGAGAGGGTCAGTCCAAATGTTATGTATATAAAACCTTGTAACTGTTCTCATAAAACCCTGAGCACTTGAATGATCCCATTAGTGATGATCCCATTAAACCCCTTCTGCTTTGTTTTTCTGTTGTTTTTAAAATTTCTGTTTATTTCAACTGGCAGCGCATAAATGATTCCCTGATGATCTGCGCAGAACCGGACAACTTCACTGTGGGCGAGTTCATCACTGTCGGGTTAGTAATTTCAGTTTTTTTATTAGCCTGCTGCAAACTGAGAACACAATTGAGCCAGTATACAGTGTATGAAAGCACATGATTCCATAAATTCAAGTAAAATGATGTAAATGTTCTTCATTATAGGGATAAAAAAGAAGAGGACCCCACTTTATTCACTAAAGCTTCCACAAAACTGGAAGCCAGTGCTTGCCGGCTGCAGCTGCCAGAGGTGAGAAACATTTTATATGACTGCAAACAAAACCTATATTAGTAACTTTAAAGCTCAGCATACATGTTTTTGTCTCGACGTTGAACTCGGTCCCTACCCCGCAGGGTGCCGCTGGCTTCTACAACATCGACAACGAGGAGTATGAAGCCATGCCTGTGGAGGTAAGGCTGTTGCCACGGAAACTACGCTTCTACATCAGTGCAGAGCGCAGAGAGCAGCTCCTCTCACAGATGCAGTGAGGAGAAAAACAACTCAGAAAAAAACAGAAAGAGGACAAGAACAGCAAGACAAAAACTGAACTCGAGAGAAAAGCAAAGAACCAGATGCCTCGAAGCTCTGAGGATCCTGAAGTACTATTGGTCGGTTTTACTACATGGAAGCATTGCTCAGTTGAAGTTATCAGTTGATACTACAGTTATGAGGAGAATTATATTACATGTCGTTGTATGTGAAAGGACCAAGGCTTTGTTTCTTTAAGCCATTAATCCATGTACAGGTTGTCTTACAAATGGACTTTATGTTTACTGAATGGTTTACTATCATTTGAAGTTGGTCAATAAATATAATATCTGTCCAATTCAACAAAAAAAGTGTTTTTATACCAGCAGATCCCTGGTTTAGATGAGGAGTGCAGTTGCAAGTAGCTACAATGGTCCAGAAGAGTATGGATGGTTTGGAGGTTTACAGGTGAATGAGTATGGAAGAATCTAGGCATGCTGCAGCGTTCTGAATGTGCTGTAAATGCCCAAGATCTTTTTTTGGCAGACTCCCTGCCGAGGCTGGGTCTGATTTGACAGATGGTGTAAACAGCAAATCTGCCAGATTAAAGCAAGTGGCTGCATTGCAGGCCTCCTTATCATATTTGGTTGTTCAGGAAAAGACAAAGAAGGGGTCTCGGCTTTCTTTTAGTTGTGTTAATTGTGGTGGAAGAATCTTGCAGGGGAATGTCTGTGGTTGAATGAACTCCATTCACTTAAGTACAATTTTGAGGTACTTGTAGTTTACTTCACTTGCTTTATTTGATGTCATAAATCAAGCTCTTAGACCCCGCCCCTTAAAATTCAGTGTGCACAGAGAAACCTTCCACTTTCAACAGATTAATGTGAAAATACATCATTCTGCACAGTGAAGCTCAAACATCCAACCAGAGGAACATGTTTCTGGAAAGGCCCTTTAAAATGGGTTCCACCACAACCAACAACAACTGTACAATGCTGCTTACACATCAGTAGTAAAGATTAAATAATGAAATATATAATAATATAACACTAGTGATGACATTTTTCTGTATGAGTACTTCTGATACCTGCTGGTAATACTTATGTACTTTTACTGAAGAACTACTTTGAATGCAGCACTCATTCATTTGTGACCAGGCATTCTTCCATTGTTGCATTGTTCCTTTGCTTAAAGGATCTAAATACTAATTGCACCACTGGGGTACGCTGAGGGAAGATGAGTGCCTCGGTCTTGTCCAAATTATTCTGAATATTATATTTTTGTGTCTTGGAAAGCAGTGAAAGCAGTAATCTTTGTCAGAGAGGGAAGAGAGAGGTGTAGGTTGAGTAGGATTATGAAAGATATGCAGGGTTAGAAGATTAGATAACACCTAAACTGTATCAATGTTTTATTGTTTAACAATGGCAGTACAGTGAAATTAACAATTGCTCATGCTATTGAGTTCATGTGTACATTTACTGACATCTCTTACAGTGTTTCACATTAGTAAAGATAAAGACTTATTCCGTGGATACTCTTGATTTACATTACAATCAAGGAGAAAACTACTTGGGTGTGCTGCTGCATGTGTGCAATACTTTTGCTGTCTTTGACATTCAATAGAGTGACACGCTGTACAAATGACTCGTTTGGCTAATGCTGGTACACATGTGTGAACGGCTCCACAAAGAAGGCATTGATACAGGTGGTTTGTGTTGTGTACATTCCCTTTTACGTTTAACATACACCGTCGGAGGCGAGACTGTACGTCTGCTGACGAGTACATAGACCAGTCAGAGTCAACAGGTTTTCACTGGAGACAGTAATGTCATTCAGAAATTCCAAGGACAACGTACTTAATCTGTCAGCAAACACTGCTGACGCAGATACAGAAATGAGTCACTTTGCTGTGGTAAGTTTGAGAAAATCACATTTCCTTAAGGCCCCATTTAAACAACAAAGCTAGTGCCGTTCTCTTTCAAATACAATACTTAGTGCAGTTTTTTTTTTCTTTTACCAACACAGAAAGCATCTTTGGGGGGTCAAAGCCAAACAGTAAGACCATGAGTAGTTCTGAACCTGGGGATCAGCCCCCGAAAGATCATTTCTGAAATGTGACAATGAAAAAAAAAGAATATGTAGAGCATTGAATTTAAAAAAAGATTTTAAAAAATGCAAGCTTGCATCGGGGGGGCCACGAGAAGGTTGAGAACTACTACTCCAAACGTATAAGAGGCGAGCATCAGCCTCATGTGTTCCAACATGGAACAAATTATCACTCTGATTGGCAACGTGATGGATGAACTAATACCAGTCTGCCAGAGTAATTCAAAAGACAAAGTTGGCCCATCTCTGGAGCTGGATTCACTCAATGGGACTGTGATGAAAAGACTGAGAGAAACCCTCAGCTGGCACAGACGGGGGGGGGGGGTGCTCTGTGAATCTGCCCAAAGAGGAGGAGTTAAAGCTTTTGCTCAGCCCACACTGTGACTAACACCACATCTCCAGAAACACAAAGAGATCTTTGTCAAAGACAGAGACAAACAAAGAGGATCCCAACAAGTAAATTACAAACGGCTCCATCAAGGACTCCTCACTCACCAGGAAGAAATATTAGCATCCGCCGATGAACCAGCCTCAAAAAAACTAAAACAATGAAAGCCTGTATAAGAGCACAAAACACACAAACACGACTCCATAAGGACAAACAGAAAGGTACAGTTAAGCATGATCACTGTGTGCATCGGGAATTAGTCCAGTAGTGGACATGGTGCAGCATTCGTGATGAGTTAGTGTTACAGAATCACATTCAGTGACGGGTCAGGAACCTCAGCTGATCACAACGTACGACACGTGAAACAACAAAGAGTCTCTTGTGATCAAACACAGAGACACGTTATCGTGTTGAAGGTGCATAAAGGTGAACAAAGTATTTAAAAGCTTTTCCCCCCATCTCATTCTGTGAGTCAGCTTCATAATAATGAACCAAAACCCCCCCGTTATAAAAAGAGGATATCACGCTCATTAACAAACTTTCAGTTGTGAAAGAAATAATTAAAAAAAAAGCAGAGACATAAAGAAGGCTGGTAATTTCACTTAACTCCTAGTGCTTCCTTTCTGAAAGGCCAATAAAGTGGTTGTGGGTTGCACATTATGACGGCTAGAATCTTCTATAAAATGCAGTTGAAGCACACAAATTCATCTCTAGCAGTAAAAACTCCCAGTGAATTCTTCATTACGACGGCTACAGAGGAGAACCACCAATCTGGTGGCCAGTGAAGACCAGACCTGACCAAGACTTCTGTTTTTACCAAAATTCTTCAGCCCGGGCCACTTAAGCCGGAATCAAACAGGAACACACAAGCAAACACATATTTCTGACAACAAAAAACAGTACTGAGTGATATAAGATGTGTATAAGAGCACACTGCTGCCAAGCGGCATTGTCTACGAGGCAGGTGTTTATCAGCCACTGTGGACCAGTGCACCGATCGTCATCGTCCACACCGGTTGGAAACTCCACAGCACAGAGGGGGAACAGACACCTAGGAGGGGACAGCAGATAACAGATGGAAGTCCCAGGGTTGAGGCAGTGTCTTCAGTGTTTTGGTGTGTGTGCGTGTGTGTACGTAGGCCTTAAAGGCACAAATATCCAGTGTTATTCCAGGTTTCTCCCAGCCGGAGGGAGCCTCATTGGCAGCAGAGGTTTTCTATGACCAGTGTGACGTCAATGCCGTACACCTCCAGCAGGTCCATCAGGAAGGAGCGATCGCCCTGGGGATCCAGCCCCATGGCCCTCACGTGCTCAGCGGTGAGGGTGGGATCAGCGCTCCCTGCTACCTCTGACAGGGTCTGGAAGATGCGGTTATTCAACTCCATGAAGAACCTACGACGAGATTAAAGACAGCTGCATCAGACTATGCTCCTCCGCATCACATTCCAGTGACAAAACCAACATTATAGTAGTACTCTCCTCGCTGCCTGTGATTATGACTAAGGTAGCAGGTGTGAATATGCTTGTCAAGGACTCACAGGATGAAAAGATCCTCTTCATTTGATGTGCAGTCTCCATCCACCTCCTGAGAGTACAGCAACATTTGCCTGGGGAAAAAAAAAGTCATCCTCTATCATGAAATCTGGAAAAATATGAGGATTTTCCTTGAAATACAACAAAACCTCACCAGCCAAGTATTTATGAGCATCCATGTTAATCCTGAGCCATACTTGTTTCATAGTTAAACTATTGGCATAAGCCAATAACTACAATAAACAATAAACTATGCACAATAATGATCATAAAATGGGGAAATTATATAAATATTATTAATATGATAGCCAATAAAGTATCAATCTATAATACTAATAATTTATTTTGAATTCTTATGCAAAACAATCGATATTCTTTATGTTCTATTAAAGCCAAAGTACTTTAAGAATTTTTAGGTTTGGTTAAATCAGCACTATGCAATATTTAATCATCCATCTTTGCTCACTACATTTTACCCTCAGGTGTGCAGAAACTACAGGTTATGAACTTATTAAAAAGAAATTTAACTTATGGTTGATTATTTTTAAAAGCAGGTAATTATTGGTTATTAAAAAATCGATATTGTGCATCCTTACAATAAACATGATGCTATTTTAGCAGCGTTTCACAGTGTGTAGTTTACCTCTGTTCGCTCAGTTTCCTGTACTTCTCCTTATCCGCAGCATTCAGTCGGAGGAGCGGCTGCAAATGGCTTCTGTGCGTTTTCACATTCTGGTTGTCAATGTAGACATCGTACAGCTCCTTCTTCTCCTCGAAGATCTTCTCGGTGGTGCCTTAAAAAAATGATGAAAACGTGCTCATAAATAAAGGGTCATTACCCTTAAATTACAAATAGTGGTCATTTTACTTGCAGTAAAGCTTCACTCACAGGCCACGTATGACATCTCTGTTTCCAGGGTGGGGATGTCGGCTATGTTGATGTAGAAGAAAGGCCGTAATTCAGGCACAGAGACACCAATTCCAGGTAAAGAGACATTGGCCAGGCAGCAACAGCAATACACTGAGGGAGAACAAAATCACATTGAATGAACCATCTCCATGGAAATGGAAAATAAAAGATCACACGTAGGTTGCAACATAAAAATATTCTCTACAGCCTGAGCTGTTTGTGTGAGAGAAACAGTGTTACAACCGCTGATTAAATAGCACTTAAGTACATCAACAGCAATTCAAAGGCTGTGAGTGTGCGTAAGCATGTGTGTTTGAGCTTCTTACCCCTGTAGCAGACCACGCCTACAGGTGGAGGGGAGAAGATGAGGAGACGTTTCCTAAGCAGGGCAAACTTCCACAGCACCATTATCTGCTCCCCGAAAAACTGGATGAACTGGGACATGCAGCCAGCCGGGTGGGTGATCTGCAGGGAGCCAAAGAGTGACAAATAGGGTTTTTTTGTTGTTGTTGTTGTTGTTGTTCTGACTGAACAAATCTGCGATCAGCGACAATATAAAAATGTGTCTTTCTGCTTTCAGACCTTCATTTCTGGGTGCATGCAGCGGTTGATGGTGGTAATACTCCAGGTTGGGCAAGCGGTGACCAGACCATTCCCTGTAGGGGGGAGGACAGCCTTCTTATCTTCATAGAAGGCCTCCAGTGGAGAATACTGGCCTGGACACTGCAACTGGTGTCTGAAAGCAATGACAGGAGGAAGAGAAGAAGAGAGAAAGACAAATAATGTCAAGTCTTTTCCAGATTTGTATACTGCTTGTATGTACTGCATATGCATATTCATGATCTGCACACCATGCTCGCAGCTCGGCAGTGTAATTTGAGCGATTTAAAGACAGATACTAAAGCCCCGTAGCTCTGAAATGATTCACTCAGTCACTATCTGTTACACAGTCTAGGTAGAAGTATTATTTATTTAGTATCAGACCCTATTTAGGTCATCTATAATGCACGATTGTGCTTGGTTAGTAACCATCACTTGCATTGTGGGATCATTTGAGGCCACTCACATTACATAAACGCCGCTGTTCTATTTGGTTTAACCACTTCAGCGCTCTTAATTTACCATATTACTAACACCACTTGAGGCATCTGCTTGCTATTGTAGAGTGACGGTAAAGAAAAGCCACAGTACCCACACATAGACTACAAGATAGATGACCAGACTGCATTCAGATCCACTTCCATTTAACGGTAAGCTGAGCCAACTGTCATATATTTATACATATTCAATGAGGAGATAAGCTTTTCGTGAGAGGACTGAAGCAGAAGAGCAGAGTTACTGAAGAGAAGAAAAGCTGTCAAGGCCTCTTCCACTTGTCGTGCTCAGACTTCATACAAAAAAACTGCATGTAAATGGGCTCCTGTGACGATAGCTGTAACTGGGACTCTGGGTTCATGTTTAATAGATGAGAAGGTTGTTGTTTTTTTTTAAATAAAGAAGGAAGGAGGAGAGGAGGTAGGCACATAAAGAGAAACCTGTGAACACGTCTGGGTGAGAAGTAAATAAGGTAAACAGAATACAGATAGGGTGCTGCACAGGTGACAAGACTCGCACACACACACACAACACAACACAACATCTCTCACCTGACTTGGTTCTCCAAGAAGTGCATGTAGCGGTAGAGCAGAGTGTAGGAGGGAGACAGAATTCCCACAGACTTCATCCTCGCTCCTCGCTCCAGCTCACTCTCCACAGGCATGTTGGCAAAACAGGCCAGGCCAAAGTAGGAGCCTTTACGGAAATATCTAGCCGGGAGGGGCAAACAAAGATCAGGAGTAAACACACAGTGACAGATTTCTCACTGAACAGACACGTGATCCTCTAAAGACTGGATTTCATGCTCCTTGCTGGGTGTGCGTGCGTACATGAAGTCGCTGGTGATCCGATGGGAACCGCTGGCCATGGACTTGAATTCGACTCCGTCTAGGTTGATGTCGTGAGGCAGGCACCACTCTACCATATTCCCTGCCATTCACACACACACACACACACACACACACACACAGAGAAAAGCAACCATGATGTTAGTTCCCACACTGCCAACTTTCATCCAGACCACTTCCCCTAATTTTGCATGTTAAGAGGCCAGAGACAGTAAGAAAGCGCTGACTCAGCAACTGTAACACTCACTGGGCTCTCCTATATTTGAAGCACTGACATCCTGGCCTCCTTCTCAGCTATTGATTGCATATCCAGTCTGTTTTGAACCAGAGATTTCTGTCAAATTCTATATTAGCTCTGATAGGTGGCTTTTATTCCAGCCTGGGCTTCTCAGGGACCCACTGCTGCATTTAGGATGTTTGACAGCAGGAAGTTCATTTATTTGGGAATAGTTGCCCCACCAAAAATTATAGCAATTATTGATTGTGAATCTATTTATTAGGGTGTTGAGATCGGTGGATGCCAGCACACACCCTTCCTCATAACAGACCCAGTACAACGCACTACCGCGCATCAGACAGAGGAGACATTCAAAGAGAACGAGACATCAAAACACAATCATTGAAGGGAATCTTCCAGCTGTGATCTAGTCCACGACCAGTTTAATTATGAGAGATAAAAGATCTGACGGCTCACCTGATCTCGTATCAAAGGTAACCACAAACACAGCCACGATCTGGTCTTTTTCCTCCCACTGATCCCTCACCGAGAGGCCGGGGAAGGGAACATTACGATCCGTACCGAGAGGCTGCGGGCGATCCCACCCGTGCCCAGAGAGCCCTGGTCGCGGACGGCCCGGGCTCCAGTCCCTGCTGGCAACAACAGCTGTTGGATTCCTCGTCGGGCTGCAGGTGATGGTGGCGGTGGTGGCGGTGCTGCAGCCGCTGCTCCACCCAGTACCAGCCGCGGTGCCCGTGGGTGCGCGACGCACGGCTGGCTGCGAACTTTTCTCCGGCGGTGCGTCTTCCTCCCGCGGCGGCGATGGCTGCATCGGCGGGGCCGCCTGGTTCGGATCGGGCGGTGGGATCTCCTCCCAGTCCAACAGCGGGGCTCGGTCCGACTGCTTCACCATGGTGCTGCTTGTTGTTGAGGACTCGGGAAGGGAGAAAAATACGCCAAAAGTCCGCTGTCCGGGTGAATCGAGCACACTAAACGCGCTGCTGGAGCCGGATCATGGTTTCCTGGTGCTTGCTGGGTTGTTTTCTATTTATTTGTAAGCGTGTCACATCCACTGACGGCCAGCTTCCCTCCTCCTGTCTCACTGTTTTGATGACGTCCCTGACTTCCGCCCACGTGTCTATATTACTATTTAATACAATGACCTAATTTTTTGGCTATGGGCTGTTTAGTTTGCCCATAATAATCCAGATTATTACAACATTAATATAGAGATTCCGCTATAGTGATGTACTATTAAATATTCCTTCCTGCAGCTGCTGCTAGTATTTGTATTTGTGTTATTGGTGTTATCGTTGTGGTTTTTTACTGTTTTTTCTCTGTACAGTGTATATATTATATTATATATATTATTTTTCACACTCCTTACTGTTTTATACTGTTTTTTTTCTCTATCCACTTTGCTGCTGTAATATTGAAATTTCCCCATTGCGGGACTATTAAAGGAATATCTTAATCTTAATATTCATGGTATTTCCTTGTTATTTAGTTTTACTTTAAATATAAAAATGTGTAATTTTCTTGTGATTACATTGTCCATAAGCATACATATATACAGTTTATAGTTAGATCTTCACAGTTTTTATGGGAAGTGCTTAAAGTTGTTTACAATTAACTGCCAGGTGTGTGGTTTATGAACGATTCAGCCAATCAGAGAGCTAGACGTGTTAACCCCGGTGGCACAGTTCATTTAAACAGGAAGTCATTTACATACAAGGCGCGAAATTCAAGCGTGGCGGTGGTGGGGAAGGCGATCGTTCGTGAGTATACGTGATAAACACATGTTGTTACTCAAACTTTAAGCACATACTCTGTGTGTAACATCTGTAGAGCTTCCAGGTCAGTCAGGAAATAACATCACAGCTGGAGAGGTGTGCTGCTCTCCAGTTGGCCTGCATGGTTTAGTGTGCAGGACGTCTTAAATCATAATCAGTAAGTAATATTGACTTACTGATTGAGTTATGGGAGTAGGAGTCAAGTGAGCTTATGGGAGGAGTGACCTTGCATCATACTGGATACATGCAGGCCTGATGGTTTAGAGATTGAGAGAGTACAAGTAGCAAAACACATGTTTTATTTCCTCCTTTCATTTAGTATCTTCCTAAATTGACTTAAATGCAGGCCTAATAATCTAAAGCATAACATCAACCCCCAAAATAAGAAAAATGAAATTTTAACTGCCAGATTAACCATTTTAAAGGAAACCTTTGCCAAAACTCAGGCCCCAAGTATGGCGATGTTGTTTGACGGGATCAGCCAGCAGCTGGACTTCACTAGCTGTGGAGAGGAGGGGAGCAGCAGTGACAACAGCTCAGATGACTACACCCCCATGATCCGGAGCCCCAGGATCAGGAGTCCCAGGATCAGGAGTCCCAGGATCAGGAGCCCCCAGATCAGGAGCCCCCGGATCCACAGCCCTGCATGCAGGACGCCGAGGGTGCAACGCCACCGCAGTAGAAACAACACCTTATCTTCCCCTTTACAGTGCACCAGCCCCATACCTTACGCTTCCTGGAAGAAACTGAGGCTCTGTGACTCTCCCAGCACACCCAAGGTGGAGAATAATTCACACTGATTGTCCTTAGTGCGCCCCCCTGTGGTCTTGGATGATTTGTCAAAGTGGGTACCAAATGTCAAACCAGTGTTTAACTTCAGTGGGATTATTGCCTCTTGTTTGTTTCCCCCCCTTGTAGAGCCTCCTATCCAAGTCGTCCCAGCCTTGCTCCAGCACCAAGATAAATCGCCAGAAGACCCTGCGTTTCACATCAGCCACTGCAAACTACATCCACGCACCTTCTGTCAATGTGAATCCTTTCACCCCCGACACAGTCCGCAGGAACAGCGAACAGCAGTGGAGGAACAGTTTTAGGAGTGATGATGATGACGACTATGGACGCAGGTAACTACTAATGAGTCTACTTGTATGATGGATGGCACATTAAAGAATGAGAGCAAACATTTGAATGTCTTTATTGGCTGGTAGATTTCCCCCATGAAGCACTGAGGGTGAAATTTACATAGTTTGAATTCTCCAGCTACCTGTTTTACCCTTACACATGGGTCTGACTTTTTAAAAATCCTTTCATAATGCAGATTTGTTCAGAGTCGATAAAGGTCTAAAGGCCCTTTTTTTATCTTTCAGGTTGAAACACAGCCTAACGTCATCTGAGGAGGATGATGAAGCCTTCCTCCCACCAAAGGTACAGCTATTTTTATCACTGCTTTCTGGTGGATGTAACCCTCCCTCTCAGATGCCTCTGATATGATTTCATCAGGCTTTGTCATCTTCGGCTGCCTCCTCACTTCTTGTTTTGTACAAAATTACATGCTGCCAGTTCTACTTCCGGAATTTCTCTAAGGAATCTCCAGGAAAAAAACAAACAAAAAGCTGTCAGAATCTTCCACCGTGTTTCTCGTAGAAGTATGACCATATTTGGTGACTCTTCATACAAAAAAGTCCTGGTTCTCCTCAACACTGAGCCCTGTGACGTGTGTTCCTCCTTTAGAAATTTCTTTTGGTTTTACCACAAGGCCCTCCCGTCTGTTTATCTGGCAGAGACGAGCTGTCCAAGCCTTAATGCTGTCACGCTACGAGAGTGAGTTCCTGGAGCTGGAGTGCATTGGCGTGGGCGAGTTTGGGGCAGTTTACAAGTGTGTGAAGAGGCTGGACGGTTGCTTGTACGCCATAAAACGTTCTCGCAGACCCCTGGCAGGCTCTGCCAACGAGTGAGTCAGCAAGCATGTCGTCTCTGCCAGAGATAGATCAGTCCACTTTGTTTATTTTGATCCTGAAATGACCATTTTTTTGTCACCTCAGGCAGCTGGCCTTAAAGGAAGTGTACGCACATGCTGTTCTTGGGCACCACCCACATGTTGTTCGATATTATTCAGCATGGGCAGAAGACGATCACATGATTATTCAGAATGAATATTGTGATGGTAGGTTTCCCCTGACCATCAAAGGCACAGTTAATACCTGAGCTTGATTGAATGATGTGGTTGTGATACCCTCAATGTGTGTTCCAGGTGGAAGTCTCAGTGACGCCATCATAAAGAAGGAGGTGCAGGGTGAGCTGTTTTCAGAGGCCGAGTTGAAAGATCTGCTCTTACAAGTGTCTATGGGGTTGAAATACATCCACAGCTTAGGCCTTGTGCACCTGGACATCAAACCAAGTATGTCTCATTGAGCCGTTGGCATTTCTTATATTTTCAAGTCTTAAACCTGCAGTCTCTTGTGCCTTTTTAAAAAAACCTGCCTTGTTTCAACTCTTTGTAGGTAATATATTCATTTGCCAGCGCCCCAGCACAAGTGCTGCAGGCGAAGGGGAGAGTGAGGAGGAAGATGACGGAAGCGCGTCAGCTGGAGTCATTTACAAAATTGGTATTATATTTAATGTAGGATACATTTCTCTGCTTTCAATATTTGTTTGTCGTCAACTCTGATTCTTCTTGTTTTCTGCAGGGGATCTGGGTCATGTGACATCAACCAACAGTCCTCAAGTCGAGGAAGGGGACAGCCGCTTTCTGGCCAGTGAGGTCCTGCATGAGGTATAAATGCTGCGTAACCATTAAAGGAAAAATCCTCTCAGGGTCTCATCTGTTTGTATCTCACTATAGGTGTAAAGAAAGAAATAATTCAGCGATCCAGTTGTATTTGCCTCATTTTCAGTGTTTGTTTCAGCTGTATTTCTGCTCCCTAGGATTATAGCAACCTCCCCAAGGCAGACCTCTTTGCCCTGGGCCTTACGGTGCTGCTGGCAGCTGGCGCCCCTCCTCTGCCTCAAAATGGAGATGAGTGGCATAGCCTTAGAGAGGGGCAGCTCCCCAAACTCCCAAAGGAGTTATCACCACCCTTCAGAGGCCTAATTCAGGTGCTCTTATTTCTTGGCTGATGTTGTTGGATTTGATTTTTAAGCTGCCACTTGTATGAATAACAAAGCTTGTCACTACCTTGTTGAAAATGCCTTTTTTTTTTTTATTTGTCAGTTGTTGCTGGATCCAGACCTGACGAAGCGTCCGTCTGCCAGGGAGCTTTGCAAACACACGGTCTTAAGGGAGGAGAGGGCCGGGAGGGTGGCTGCTCAGCTACGCAGAGAGCTCAATGTAGAGAAGTTCAGGACGGCCATGCTTGAGAAGTAAGAGGAAAAGAATAAAGATTTCAGTCCTCATCTAATTTTACCATGTCTTCTTAAGTTAATAAATTGGTCCGACCATTTAATACTCACATGCAGATGCTGGATAAAAGCATTCACTTATTTCCCATTTTTCTCCAGAGAGCTCCAGGAAGCTCGTCAGGCCGCTCAGTCACCCATGCAGAGCCTCCCTCCTGGGCTGAAACCCCCTGCTCAGATGGGGTCTCAACCAAGAACTGGGAGGAGGCTTGTTGGCAGGAACACTGCACGATCCATGAGCTTGGGTTTTCCAGGGTATGTAGTCTGATGTAATGTGACTCCTTCTGCAACAGTGTTATGATAAAAATGTACTGTGTCTATTTCCTATGCAGCAAATAACTGGATGGACAATCCTATAAGTGTCTGAAGAACCTTGGACGGCATTGGTTTTAAATTGGTTTTAAAGGACTAATCTGACTTTTCAAGTGATTTTTAAATAGCTTGTAATTGCTGCAGACCAAATGTACTTAACCAATCAATGACTTGTTTTTTTTTATTGTAAATAAACATTTTAAGCATTTTTTCAGATGGACTTGTATTATTTATTTTAGCTCTGAAACTTATCTCAGAGGTCTGTTGGGTCAAAGCCACAGCAGGGACTTTCCAGTGCTGTGTTTGCTTTGTTATCTGCAACTGCAGACAGTGACTGGGAATGGACTTAAGAGCTATCATACTGTAAACGTATTGGTTGTTTTTCTGTAGGTCACATGCTTGCACTGTTTGACAATGCTTCACTTTAAACGGTTGAATGGAATTTACAACAGGTCACATCTACCCAAAGTGACATAACTATTAGTCACACAAGTTATTATGTCAGGTTTAGTAAAAAGTGTTGATGCAGTAACAGGATAAATCAAATACACACAGGGAACACTATAGGCTATTTTATATGCCTTATCTGGGCAATTAGAGGAGGACTATATTCATTTTATTGTCTGTGTTCCAACTCACTACTTATTTATGTCTCCAATGTGGTAATCTAATGCAATGGTTCCCAACCCGACCCACTCGAGGTTGGTAAAGCTTCATAGGGGGTAATTTAATTACATTTTTTTTAAGGTGTGCTATAAAACAGTTAAATATACACAGTAGGCCTATATCTCAGCATTTGGTTAACTTCTGTTAAAAGATTAAATGTAAATTGTCCAATAGAATGATAGTGTCAGGGACAAGAAACCATTGAATTTATCAAAAAAATAAGTTTGCATGATTATTAAAAATGATTTAAAAAACCAAAAACAAAATGCAGACCGATAATTATATAGAAAGTTACAGGAGATAATCTGCTCACAATTCATCCAAATCACCTGTTTTACACAAACGCTTTGGAGTTACTGAGTTTGAGGTTTTGAATACAATATGAAATAAACAAACTGTCACTTAAAGCCTCGTCAGTTTACTAAATATAGATAGAAAAAGGGTTGTGAACCACTGATAATATATCCTGGGGGTCTTTTTTTTTTGTTTTTGTTTTGCATGTTTGGAATTCCCTGCAAGTGAAGGCATCATGAGGCATTTAAGACCTCGTACGTACCACCTCTCTCACACAGATAGCAGCACTGCTAACCGAGCAACAGTTCGCTGTTTGTATGAAGTTAAAACCAGACTTACCCGGCACAAGACACGAGTGTGAGTAAAACGAGCCAATCTTTAGATACATATTCAACAGTATGATGCAACTAAGGTTTATTTCAGATGACTAAAGATCTCTCTAGCTATAGTTAGCGTACTGGTTTTACAGGAATCGTTGAATTATAATAAATCCGTAAATGTTTTCCAGCTTTGTTGCTTTTGGTTCATCCCTCCCTGATTTCTAGCTGCTGACTCATGAGCCTGTTTAAAAGTCTTACATGAAACTGAAACTGTGTGTAACTTTGTGTTAGCGGTGTCAAGTCTTCACTAACTTTCCCCCCCTTACAGAGTGAACACTGCTAACCCTCCTCCTCCTCCTCCTCTTCCTCCTCCTCTTCCTCCTTCTTCTCCTTCCTCTCCGCACTGAACAGGCCACGATGGATGACCTGAGGAATCTGACCAGTCCCCAAAACGCCGCCCTGGTCGTGTTTGCCTTCCTTCAAGCGGATTGTAGAAACTCAGACTACAAAAAGGAGCTGTTCTCCCTGGGCCAGGACACGGATCTCATGCGGGACATCAACTGCAATAACCCCTGGAGAGACTCTCCGGACGATGGAGACCTTGAGACTGACGGTCATCTGGTCAGCTGCATCACAGCCTCTCTGGGGGACATACAGCCTTCAGTGGAGCTGCAGCTTCCCAGTGAGTAATACTGCAAGGCTTGTTTGTGTCACAGTTTTCTGAAAGCAGAAATGTAAGCTTGGATGTTGCTTGATGCATCAACATAAATGTGTATGTGGCACATTTAATCTGCAGTTTAACACCCCTGTGTGTTCACAGTTTAGAAGTCAGAGCGCTGGCATTCACATCTTATAAGTTGTCTCCAGTTATAGGAGCAAAACAACTTGAAGACGTGAAGAGAAAGCAGGAAGTGACAGCTGTCAACCATTTCATGTAATTGGTGTCTCTTGGTGGAAACTTGCATCCACATTCATGAGTCTCTCACTGGGTTACAGTGTGTGGTCTTAAACCTAGATTTATATGTGTAACACTGGTTACAAAAATAAAATGTGTGATGTTAAAGCCAAGAATGTTAAAAATAGACAAACATTTAAGTCAACTTTAAGTCCTAAAGTCTGCTGATTGTCTTGGAAATCTCTGTTTTTCCTGCAGGGAACCACGCAGATGCAGCAGCCATACAGCAGGTTGCAGCAGGGCTGAGAGAAATCGCAGCCCAGTTTGAACACAACCATTTTGTGGCTCAGGCTACCCAGAACCTGCACCGGAACATAACGGTCTTCCCCTCTGAGGTGAGTCTGGGCCCAGTGTGAAATAGAAAATGGAACAGGTTGATTTCTGTAACATATAAACACACATATACACTGAGATTATCTAGATTAAGGTATTTAAATGTGTTCAAAAACACCACATTGCATCTGGTTTTTAAAGTCATGATGTTGACAGATTGTAACCAGAGTGTAGTCTTCATGTGCTGGCTGATAACCTTTGGTTCATTTGGGCTTTGCAGCAGCAGTGGAAAGACTACCTTACCCAGGAAGTGGACAGGCTGATAAACCAGGGCGTAGGTCTGGAGCATCTAGCCCAGGAGCGAGTCATCGCGGCCCTCGCTCTCACCCTGGTGAAGGGAGTGTGTGAGCAGGCCCCTCAACTGTTGAGGAACCTCTTCCGCACCGCACTGCAGTACATTAGCTCTGCGTGGTCTGGATGACTGTTGAGCTGCAGGCTGAGAGAAAATTACTTGGAATACAGCTCATTCTGAAACTATCTGCCCATGGCCAGTCGACCGTGAGAGGAGCTGCTGTGTTTACTTAACAGAAGTGAGAACACTTTTTCAAATGAAGGAAAGTGATGATAAATAATGATAGTTTGAAAACTATTTGTTTGCGACACTTGAATTTTTTTCATTCCGTTATGCGCTTTGAATCTCACTGCCTCAGTTGACTGTTAATTTTTTTCCAATACTTGAATTACATGATTTCTTTAGTATTCAGTTAATTTACTTTTGGCATATGCGTGTATTTCTATTGTGTAACTTGAATAAATATATTTTTCTTGGAATTGGAGTTTAATTTCATTAATATTGTGAGATTGCTTTTTATATTCCTTAAACATTAGTGTTAATCATACAATACCACATTTAAATTTTGAAAACTTGAGCATTTTAACAAAACAAAACACAGAAAAGGTTCTCAAATAGTTTAATTTTTTTAAATTCTCATCTTAAACAGTGTTGTAGGAAACTCAAGGTACAAAGTGTCATGTTTGGGACCTGTTAACACCCATCCTGCTCTGTACTTTGAACAGTTTCCCTTTGGAAGCAGGCTGTTAGAGTCTGTGAATATTACTATGAGTAACACCGACATACTTGGAAACATCCCTTCTGTATCAAGGAAGACGATATCTGTCCAACACCACAGTGACACAGCTTACTGCGACATCCCCAAATTCTCAAAGAGAACATATCTAAGTTGTGATGAGGCAGCAGTGAGGGCAAAACTTTGTCACCTTAAGTATTTATCATGTCTTACTGACACGATTAATGACTGAGGGGCAGGGTAACTAATTTTACGTCTAACTTGAATGTGGGGAGGCCAGGGGACATTCCAGCACAGCTAACATTTTCTGTTTTAAAACTCCTAAACTGTAGTGCATGTTGGCTCAA